CCCGGCTCGTTTCTGGCCTGTGATAAGCCTGGGAACACGAGGCTCGTTTGACGCCAGGGTGCTCTGTCCGGTCAAACACGAGATGCCTGAGAATCTCAAGGACCGCTCTTCACTGCTGCCTGGATGGCTCGTGAGAAAACTCAAGCTTTTCAAAACAATAAAACCGTTCTGTAAGATGACAAAACGAGCGGGTTAGAATTGTCAACACACCAGTTGGTGCTCCTGTAAGAGGTTTTTCTCACTCAGCTCCTTAGCAGCTGAATCGGCAAACAGATTAACGTAGCCACTTGATCCTTGCAAGAATATGCACACAATTTAAGACGAGGCTCAGACAAAGTCATAACATTATGAGGATTTAGCTGCACTTGGCAGTACATCCGAGAACACTTACAAATCGGCTGCCTGTAGAGCACACAGTCATACAGCCCTGAAAGTCCAGGTTTTGCTCTGCTCTCCGCTTTCTGAACTCTCTCTCCAAACATACCTCATGGCTCTCCCCACTCTGCTTTCATAACCCTTCCACAAACTGATTTTTTGGACTGGGCTAGTGGTCAACTACCTTCTATTCCTCCAATTCCTACCAGGCTCACACTTTTCCTTCATCTCCGAAAGCGCATTGTGACATTAGCTGAAGTGAAAGTTGGCGGACGGGGACTTGGTTTAATGTCTCATCGGAAGGTCGGAACCTCTGTCAATGCAGCACCCCGCTCACCCCTTCCCCCAGCACCGCATTGAAATCTCAGCCAAGACTATGTGTGTTCAAAGTCCCGACGTGGAGCTTGAACCCGCACCCTTGTGACTCAGAGGCGAGATTGCTACCGACAGAGCCAAGCTGAAACCCGAGTATAGATTTGTTGGGAAGAGTTACGATGGTGTAGCGGTGATGGAATTCAATAGTTTTATTCTGTTCCTTGCTTGTGGTCGTGATTGCAGTGGTAATGCGTTTCTCTCAGAACTTGGCTGCTTCTGGCATATTTCAGTCCTGTGCTTCGAAGGATTAATATTCTCTCCATGCTGTTGATCCAGTGGAACACAATTGCACACAAGTGCGGTACTGTAGGCTGGGACTGCTGCAGAGAGCAGCTAATTGTTAAACTGGGAAATGAGCGAGAAATTAATTCTGAGGCAAAAAAAAAGTGGAAAGGAAGCTGTTCAATGACAGGCATAGAATTAGTGACTGAACAGATATTGATTTGTGAAGAAAACAATTTTCAGGTGCTTATGTACCGTCTAAATCTACTCTCACCATTCCCATTATTAACTATTTTTTTTCCACTGAGTGCTAATTTCCTCCCATTGCCTGAAGCAATGCACTTTGTATGGAAATGGTTTGATTGAGGTACAATAACAGACAGACAGACAGACAGACAGACAGGCAGGCAGGCAGACAGACAGGCAGACAGGCAGGCAGGCAGACAGGCAGACAAATGGAAGGACGTTCAATATTCAACACAAACTCTCACGCACATTTCGGAGCTTAGATTCCCAAGCTCTGCTTTGTTTGATGATGGTGCTGAGATTGCATATGACAAGTCCCAAACAGGCTGCAGCGTAAATGACAGGAGTCTGGCCGTTTTTGAGTTCTTTGAACGTGAAGCTGAACAAGCACCCTGTCACCCTGCTATGACAAGCTGCTGAATGAAGCTTGCAGAGGTTGGACATACATCAGTGGGCACAATTTGCTCCACTGTACGTTCTCCATCCTGCCCTAGCAGAATGCAGCCCGCAGGCAAAGCACAAACAAGTCACATCGGATCACTCCCCTGGACCTACCTACCAGTTGGCTCAAGAGCCCCTTTCAATAGAGGCTTTTTTGGGGATAATAACCCTTGCATGTGACATAGTGCCTTTTCATGTCTTCTCGACGTCTCAAAGCGCTTCACGGAATAGACCGTAAAGTGAACTGACTGTATATTTTTGTGGGCGAAACGTGGCAGCCAACTGCGCACAGCAGCGTCCCCACAAACAGTCGTGGATTGAGTGCCCATATTATTTTTTTTTGAAGGATTATTATCAGGCGTGTGGAGTAAGAAAACCTGCCCAAGGTTTCGCCCTGCCTGGAATCGAACCCAGGTCTCTCGCTTTTGAGGCGAGTGCTATAACCACTGAGCTACAGAACTCCTAGGGATTATCCTAGAATAAGATCCAATGTTTCCTTTCTTCGCTGGGTTACTGTGTGTTTTTTTATTGTGTTAGCGGGGAACAATAGAGCAAATTATCGAGATGCTTCAGAAATGCCAGATATCTTCGGCGCTGGTTTAGATATGATTTTCTACTTCCTCGAGGCTGTCATTTCTCTTATTATTGGCCAACTCTCTTGTTGCCTTATAATGTACTGGTCTATTGTGCGATTGATCTGATGTCCCAATGGACATTGGACATTCAGTCCAGAATGATATGTTGAGCTTCAAAACCTTATAGGGACAATCAGTGTACATTTATCAGTGTCGTTGTTTCCTCATTTGATGCATTCTCTAAATCTAAAGAGCAGACGGACTGATCGGAAGAGTATAGTCTAAGCTGTCCAACACGGGGATTTCATTTTAGATTTTTCTTGAAGAGCAGGGCTTTATGTTTGTGATAGTACAATGGCTACTTCTGCCTTACAAGTCCGACTGTGTGTGATTGTTGGTCGAACAAACTGGTCGAACTTTAAATAATAGACATCGGATTTACTTCCACGATCCGTACTCGCAGTAAATATGAAAGGTCACTTCTATCATGTTGGAACAAGGCACGAGCAGATTGTGGGCTGATGTAAGACTGCTGATAACATCAAGTGTAGGGAGATGGTTTAACCTTTCCAGCTGGTGGAGGAAGCAAAGAGGGGAAGGCAAAAAAAACCACCTTATTTCACCGTACCTCAATAGACCAGGTCAACAGAGGTGAATGTAACTATATCCCATGGATAATAAAATAATCCTTGCATTTATTATGGCACTTTTCACGTCTTCTAGACGTCTCAAAGCACTTCACAGAATATACTGTAAAGTGAATTGAACGTATATTTTGTGGGCGGCAGCCAATTGCGCACAGCAGCGTCCCCACAAACAGTCGTGGATTGAAAGTTACCAATTTATTATTGTTTCGTTTTTTTGGGAGGGATTATTATTAGACGTGTGGAGTAAGGAAACTTGCCCAGGGTTTCGTCCTGCCTGGAATTGAACCCTGGTGTCTCGCTTGCAAGGCGAGTGCTCTAACCACTGAGCTATAGGATTCCGTGGATAAGTAGGGGAGAAAACTAGCACCAGCACAACAACAACAACTTGCATTTATATATCGCCCTTCATGAGGGGTAGCTTCCCAGAGCCCTTGACAGTGGTGAAGCACAGCCACAATGTACTGGCTGATTGATCTCCTGTGCGATAAACCTTGCATTATTCTGTGATGGGTAGAGCAGAAGAGATTGACTGACCCTTTGGCAAATTCTGAAATACAGCTGCAAGCTCACAGCTGTTTTTTTCTTCCAAGTTCTTTTAAGAACGACAGGAAACAGACTTCAAAGTCCACAGAATTTGCCAAATTCTGGAATGCTCTGAAGTGCTATGTAAACAGAGTAAATCGAGACTCGAATGGAATTTCTCCCCATTGGCAAGGTCTTTGGTACCAACTTTAATTGAGGCTTTTATTATTGTAGAATTTATACTCCACCTAAGTAAATGCAGAAGAATTAATAGCTTCATAGGCCAAAAAACTAATAATAATTTGGTCACTCAATCCACAACTGTTTGTGGGACACTGCTGTGCGTAATTAGCTGCTACTTTCCGCTCACAAAATGTACAGTCAATTCACTTTGCAATATATTCTGAAGCTCTTTGAGACACCTGAGCAAAGTGATAAGGTACTATATCGAATACAAGAATTATTATCATTAGTTAACCTCTTAATCCAGTGCAATTGCTTTGAAATACAATTAATGACACTCAGCATCTGGCAGTATTTGAATCCCAACTCGGTAGCTGCTGCTGAAAATGATCAAAGCATCTCCGCAATGTTTAACATTACAAAGATCATTTTTCCGGATTCTCAGAATCTAAAGGCAAATCGTTGCATGTTCCTTCCTTCCCCACCCCTCATTCCAGGAGGATATTTCCCTACAAAAACCCGGTCGAACGTGACTGCAGCAATAGACCAAATTGATGGTGGGTAGAGTGGGACCAAATGAGACAGCGAACAAAGATGAGTTCACACTAATAAAACCAACCAACGGAAAAAAGAACCAAAAGATTAATATATGTTTTCTTCCTGTTTATTTCTGGCGTCTGGAATGTACTGCTACAAGACATGGTTTATGGTACGCAATTCTCTGCGGAGGCTATGTTTGTCTGTATCTGTGTAGCCATTATATAGAAATGATAAAGCAAGTTAATACAGCAGAAACACATTACTGGGTAATGACACATCAGCCAACACAAAAACGCAGAAGAAAGGAAAAAAAATATCTCCACAATACGCCAGTTAATGGTCACATCACAAGACAAGCTCAGCCAGATCTGTATCAGCAGGGTACAGGTGCCCAAATGAATACAGAAACACATCACCGTGGATATTTTCAGACGTACAATTTTGAGAAAAGAAGCAATCTCCGGCTGCACAAGGACATTAGTTATGTGATGCCGACTCCACAGTCAATTCAAAGCTGAAGAGAAGCTTGCAGTTGATGGATGGCTTCCTGCCCCCCTCCTGTCAACTTCCAACCAAACTGGCATCCGTAAGTGGCACTTACGCCAATTTGGATGAAAGAAGACCCTTCGGCCCATTCTAATCTCATCCTTCCAGAATACCCAGCCAACTGTGCTCCCTGTACAGCAAGCGAGCTACACCTCCTTGTGTGGATGAATGTCCATGTTGTGCTGTACTCTACCCTGGATTACTGTCTCCCACTGCAAACCACAACGGAATCAGCCCACGATAATCCGTTAGAACCAAAACAAAGGAGAGGAGGGGGTTCGGGGTGGTGGGGTGGGGGCGGGATGGTGGAGAGATGCATTCAGGTTACCTGGCATATCTTGCTCCTGGTATTCGAGATCTTCACGGCATTGAGTGTGACGTGTCATTCCCCTCAGCCACTTGTCAAGCTGAAATGAAAGTCAACAGATTAGTACGTCACCCAGAAATAACAAGCAGATCACTGTGTACGTACATGGCCCCTGTTTCAAGACCCGCTCTGTCAATGTTTCCTGTTCCAAGCACCTGGGCCTCGGCTCTCTGATGAGCAAATTGATCCAATTTGCTTCTGAACACTTCGTCTGAGCCAATATTAATTTACTGCGCTTGAAATAGGATTGCAGGCCAAAGCCTTTGGTAAGGTAGAGTGGTCCAAGCTGGACAAGGAGCTTGAACTTGCCCGGCAGAGTTTGCACCCATTGTTAGCTGTTCAAGCTCCAGCAGTTTACCAGCAGGATGTACTCTGTGGTCCTCAAGCCTCATCACTTGCCAACCTTTGCCTTCATACTTTCCCCACACACACCCCCACCACCCTGGGAGGGAACGAACACTCCATTCAAGACACAGGGAAAGTTTGATGCATATGTGGAGTCTTCTTAGGAGACTCAAACCCACAACGATGGATTCCTCCTGTGTCAAGACAGCTGGCTGACCACCAGGCCCCTTCCCGCGGGAAAAACTAGCCTTGCAGATGGGAATATTTTCACGCACAAAATAGTCAATTTCACCCGTGACATGCAGTCAAACCACTTTACAGTGTGTCCTGTCAAGCACTTTGTGACGTCTCGACGTCATGATAAGCGCTATGTCAAATGCAAGGATCATTATTATTATTCGTTGTGAAGCCTTACTGTAAAGTAGCGCTTGTAAATGCAGTCTCTATTCTGCACACAATTTATGGTCCTTCCACTGAAGACACCGCCTCAATTTGTAACATTCGCAAATAAATACAATTTATTCATTCTTGAAGGGTGGGAAACCAGCAACTTATTCCTGTGGCGGTGAGGTCACAGGCTCAGGCTTTTAGAAACAGATGATTCTATTGTGTTATGCAACATTCCTGTCTCTATTGTCTGTCTTGGGTTTTTGAAGGTGTTCCTGATATGAAATGGGGTGAAAATCTCCACGTAAAAGTTCGACCACATTGTTGGTGTGAGTGGCACTCAGTCCGAGGAAAACTCCCTGTGGCATTGCTTCAAACGTATGTTTTGTGTGGAGTCCTGCAGCTCAGTGGTTAGAGCGCTCGCTTCGCAAGCGAGAGACCTGGGTTCAATTCCCAGCAGGGCGAAAACTTGGGCAAGTTTCCTCACTCCACACGCCTGATAATAATCCTTCAAGAAATAGAAAAGAATAGTAAATTGGTCTCGTCAATCCACGACTGTTTGTCAGACACTGCTGTGCGCAATTGGCTGCCACGAATATACAGTCAATTGACTTTACAGTAATATTCTGTGAAGCGTTTTGAGACGTCTAGAAGACATGAAAAGCCCTATATCAAATGCAAGGATTATTATTATTAATCTTGTCAAAATAAAGGGCTTGAGAGTTGACTTTGATCTCGAAGCCTTGCTTGAGGCTTGTTTAATGTAAACCTATGCCTTGCACCCACAGTTTGAGGCATTTATACCCTGCGTGCCTCTCATCCTTTTAAAACCCTGAATCACGTCTCCTCGCCATTGCCTTTTATCCCACAAGGGAATTTTCTTGCTGCTTTTGGGGTACAAGTTGCAAAAAGTCTCCTCATTTTGTCGGTCAATAAGATCACGCCATCTGGCGCTGTCTGCTCTCACAACATACTCCAGTCATTTCCACTCACAGTGCCAATCCTTCCAAAATTGCCTTTCCATTCGTTCCCCGTCACAGTGCAATTCTCCCCCAAATTGCCTTGCTATCCATTTCTTCACAGCTCGCTAATGCTCTCATTAAGAACCCAACAGACTTAACCCTGAACAATCTGGTTAGCCTTGGTCTGGAAAGAAAGGGTGAGGTTTCCGGCCAAGGAGAATCTCCCAGAGAATTCCCAAAGGGAGCCTCATTCTCACCAAGGTTGCTCGACGATGCTGCAGTTCACCACCCAAAACCCATTTAAGGCACTTAATTTTGAAAATTACACCACAGATTATTTTATTTGCATGTTGTAGAGCAGCCGAATAAATAACCTCTGCTTTTGCTACTAATAGGATTAACATAATTTTGAAGATGTGTGTGTGTGTGTGTCCAAAAAAATAAATGTTTGAATCACAATGAATTTGTGGCGCAGTGAGTAATCCCTGGTGGTGTGTGCAGGCACGTTGCTTTCTGTAATGAAGTGATACTTGTCTAGCTCATGATCGTGTTGAGGAATCCATTCACGGTCCGTTTATTAAATGGTAAAGGGTTGAGTCGGAAGAGTGATCGGGATGCGAAGCAGAAAGGTACTAAAACCTGGAGCAGAGGAGTGGTGGGGGTGGGGTGGGGGGGCGAGATTGAGGGGGCGGTGGTAGAAGTCAAATAAAAATTGCTTTCCCTGCGGTCCTTTATAAAACAATTTACCATTACATGGCCTTGCACAACCATGGATCTGGGCTCAAATCCTTACATTATGGTACATTGCTAATCCGGCTCTTTAATTACATTTTATACACCAGCCTTTTATCAAGCCAGACTGAAAACATTATCTGCTTCCCCTGAAGGGACAAGTAATCATGGACATAGTAGGTTCAACAGCAGTGTTTCGAATTCATGATTCGTGCTGCAATAGATGCGAGTGTTGAGGTCTGCTGAAAGCTTTTTAGCAATCCGCTTGACGTGAGGAGTATAGCTCTGATTTCTCATGGCTTAATAGGAATGTTGGTTCCGCTCACTTCTGACTTGCAACCCTTCTGTCTCCGAACCCAAAGGAACTGAAGAACGCCGGCAGGCTCTTTTTTGAAGTAACCCAAGAAGAGAGCGAAGCGAGGCAGGCATCTGATCAGACCCACACACCTTAATCAGATGAAAATTGGCTTGCCGCGTTTCGCCCCACAAAACACAGTCAATTAATTTGCTTTGCAGGATATCCTGCGAAGCACTTTGAGACGTCTGAAACCGTGTTTTTGTCAATGTTGTATTTCGTCACAATGCAACAGCTCACACCTGACGTAAGAGATTAGAGCAATAATAATCCCTCCAAAACTAAAAACGATAATAAATTGGTCATTTTCAATCTACGACTGTTTGTGGGACATTTCTGTGTGCAATTGGCTGCCGCGTTTGCCCACAAATATACACAAATATTTGAAGAAAAAGGGAGCGAGAGGTCACCAAGTGTTTTTAGAAAGGCCTGGGCTCTCTCATGACATTTCCTTGGCACTGTAATCGATTCCCTGCAGGAAACAAACTCATTAATAATCCAGCCCTAGATGTCGCCACGTTGTACAAAGCAGGGTCAAAAGCGATGTGTGCAATATAAAATTTACATTTTAATTTTCGCTGCGGCTGGAAATCAAAAATAATTTCAACTCAGTGTTTCATTAATAATTTAACATTCATTTGATCGGAGCTGGATATTGGAGATGACAGCTGACAAAGCTGCGGACAGGCAATTTAATGATGGAGAGGGAGCGTGACCAAGCGTAAAAATTAAACGCGGTAATATTGCCACAAAGTGTCGACAATCCCTAATTTTGTCTTCCTTCCAAGAGCGCTGTTGAATGAGGGGAAATTCAAATCATCTGTGAATTTCAGGCGGTTGAAACAATACAGTCAGTGACCCACAGTCAGTGTCTTGCTCTGCAGCTCAATTCCTGCACAACGGCTTACAGCTGTCCACAGGATTTCTGCCCCGTCTTAACCCACAATAGACCAATTCATCTTAAAAATGTAAAAATGGTGCGAATTTCTCAATTTCCTTCTGAATTCAAGACCAATGAGAAAGAAATCACAACTGCCTTCCAGATATTTAACGAGGAGTAGGCCACAGATTCAATAGCTGCTTTCGAAAGGGAATTGGATATGTACTTGAAGAGGAAAAAATCTCCAGGGCTATGGGGGTAAGAGCGGGGGAGTGGGGACTAGTTGGTAGCTCTTTCAAAGAGCCGGCAAGGGCACGATGGGCCGAATGGCCTCATTCCGTGCTGTAAGATTCTATGATTCTATATAAGGGGTTGGAACAGAGAGGCTGAACTTGGACGCAGGACTCATTCAAGGGAAAACAAATTGTCGCTGTGATGCGGTGACATCCACGGCTGGATTATTAACGAGAGTTTATGTCCTGGAGTGAATCAATTACAGCGCCAAGGAAATGTCATCATAGAGCCAAGTCTTTCCTTAAAACACTTGCTTCTCTCTCTCTTTATTTTTTTAAAAAATCAGCGTAATTTCCCAGGAGAACATTTCTCATTTCCTTAGAGTGTCTTTGTGTGTGACTTGAATCAATTTCTGTCGTTTATGCAAGATGGGTTCGGTTGAAGAAGGCTCTATCTGATCTCATCCTTCCACAACACCCACCCCACGGTTCTCCCATCACAGCATCAAGCTGTTTTTTCAAATGAGTTCCATCAACTTGGCCGCTAACACCTTTCCTGGCGACCTTGTTCAAGTCGTTAGTTATCCTCTGCATCAAGAAATCTTTTATATCTGTCCCGAAATTGCCCCTTTGAAACTCTAACCCTCTATCCTTTTGTTTGACTGTCTTGGTGCGTCCTAAAGCACTGCTCTGGGTTTTGCTATTTCTCAAAGCAAATATAAAACTTTCTACACTAGCAATCTATTAATGGGGGCTTGTGGCGAAGATGGAGAATTTAATCGGCGAAGGGAACAGAGGAGCTGTGTTCAGATACAGGGGGCAAGTAATGTTCGCAATTTGAGGAAATTGCGTGGAACTTAACTGAAGCTCTGGACAAGAAAATGAGCACATAACAAGCAGCCCACCAAAACACTGCAGGTACAGAGTATTAGCTTCGATAATGAGACATTTCAAATAACATCTGTACATTTTGTAGCTTTGGAATACATTTAGCACTTCAGGAGTTGAAGGGACAACTTTCAGATTGGTGTCTGAATTAAGATTGCCTTTTCCGTGATGGCACAAGAATTTTTACGGATTTTTGATGGGGGGGTGGGAAGAGAGGAGAGAGGGCGCCAAGATTGTCCTGAAGAATTGTCAGGAGAG